AGCATTGGCCTTGACACCCAGGAACCTCTGAGAGCCTTCACAGGGACCACAGTGGGCACACTGGGAAAGAGACCTGGTCCAATAGCTCTGCAAGGCCCCGTGGGGGGTCAGCCACCTAACTGCCTCAACAGGCCTTGCTTAGTCCTCTGGTCAGTGAGGGGTTCAACGAGTAGCGCCCACTACCCTTTCGTGAGGTCCATGCGCCCTCTGGTGGTGTGGTTCCTCATTTATGTGCACTGGGGTCTTCCTTGTTTCCAGGCTAAACAGAAGACGGAGACCCTCTGCCTTGGATTCACCCAAGGGAAGGGATAAATGGTCAGACTAACTTTAAGCTCCAAACCAAGGAATAGATCAATGCTTCTGAGGCTTGCTGGGCCTGCCAGGCAAGGGCCATCAGAGGTCAGACCAAAAGCAGAGGGAGCGTGGTGGGCAGGAGAGAGGACTTTTGTTTTCTATAGAAGGTCACCAATGCAGAGAAAATCAAACTGATGGCCATATTCAAATAGAGCAATTTACCTTCAATGGATATTTTCAAAGGAAAATAAAAAACATTCCAATTTAAACATTTTAAAACCAAGAGCAGGGAACATCAGGCTGTGCTGAATAAATCCAACACATAATGTAAAATGTACTTCAGTTCTTATATTACAGCCAGCTAGAGGAGAGAGGAGGGGGCGGTGGCCAGCAACAGACAGGAGAGTCACGCTCTTACACAGACAGTAACCTGAGAGAGGATGGGTGAGGGGATGGCCAGAGACAGACACTGCCTACGCTGACATCCAAGTCCTCACACAGGCATACACACACACACACACACACACACACACACGACAAGCTGCACACATATTTTTTCTGTCATTCCTTCAACCTTTTCTCAATGAACAAACTGTCTTTAGATGAGAAGATATTATTGCTAAACAGACACTTGCAGATCGATGTGCAAGGGAGTCTCACATAGAAAGCTGTGGTAGGACTCAGAGAAGGGGCTTGTGAACTGAGTCTCAGAGGAAGAGGCAGAAAATGGTAATCTAGGCAGAGGGAAGAGCATGAGGAAATGTCTGAAAGAATTCTAAGACCTTAACACTAACTTCCCAAAAAGGAAGTTTTCCTCACCTCTAAAAATGAATTCAATGTAATTTTATTAAGAGAAGGAAATCTAGACCTTCCTCTAATGACAATCTAATAGTCTGTCCTCACTGTCGTCAAAAAAATGTTCAACTCCCAAATTAACAGTAATTAGCCTGAGGTATTGTAAATGTGGCTCTACAGTCTGAAATTTAATGGCATCTTTTGTCAAAAATAGTCTTATTTACACTTTAGTTTCATGACTACAATATTATAGTGCAATCCCTGTAGTATTTACTACAATACAGTCATCAAAAATGTCTGAAAAAAAAATCTTGGACCTTGTGAAATAGTATGTCCATCCACTTCTATAAAAATAGGAACCGTGCAAATATCTCAAAGAGTGCTGTCTTCCCAGATCCAGAACAGTGGAAGTTAGTGTTAAGGTCTTAGAATGTGAACACATAGTTTGTAGTGCTGTCCATTCCTCTCCTGAGATTTTTACTACTGGAAATCCTTAACCAATTAGAATAGCTTTTTTCTCTTTATTTATTTATTTATTTATTT